AGAGAGAGTGGCAGAGTGAGAGAGAGAGAGAGAGAGCTAGAGTGAGAGAGAAAGGGACAGAGAAAAAGGGAGAGAAAGACACAGAAACAGAAAAAGAGAGAAAGAGAGAGTGAAAGAACGAGGGATAGACAGAGTTTGATAAGAAGGGAAACCACAAAGACTCGCATTCGCAAGCACGAGGTACCGGGACAAAGGACACACTGTCAAAATTATTCACCTAGCGGGAAATCATGGCTCCAGCCTTGGCGGCGGCTCGTAGCTCCCTCACCATGTTATTGGTGAACTTGGCATCCTGCGCGTAAGACGCTTACTGGTTCTCAGGGGGGAAAAAACACTTTCAAAATTTGGATCCTTCAGGGACAAGACCAAATCCCCTTTCAAAATGGACAAATCTCTCTCTCTCTCTCTCAACATTTGGATCCTTGAAGAGGGATGATTGGATTCGATCAGCAACAGCTTGCAATCACCTGCGGACTCTCGTGGACGGACTCTTGTTTCCCTTCTCATCTCAAAGAAGAGTCACGCTGGTCCAATGGTGACGTTCAAAAGCACCGGAACAAGCTTCCGTTTGGCAGAAGTATTGACATGTCCGCAACCACCGGGATTTGCCAAGTGGTGCTGCTCCAACTGCAAACACCAAGCTTGCAAAATAGCACCGGATTCTATCCGACCAGAAAACCCATCAAGCATCAGCCGAACTTTACAATGTTCATCCTAGTCATGACAAACCGTGCTTTGACATTCACTCCCAAACAATCCATTTAGGCATTAGACCCATTTGGAGTGTAAATCTGCCCAACTGCTGTATACATGGATTGTTTGTGGATCTTTCACGGAACCTGGATAAAGGTTAACTGAATCAACTGCATAGTTCCATAGAGGGACTGGCAACGCGCATCCCCAAGGAAGGAACCTTTGGCCGACTGGGGTGCACAGAAAACTATGTTGAGGTTCTGTTTCATTTCTGTCTACGCGCAATAGGGCTCGCACCCTAACATATACAAATTTGGAGACCCCCAAATTGGGGTCCCACCCTAATCCAAATTCTGGAGATCTCAAATAGAGGTCGCAAGCCAACATCCATTCAGATCGGCAGGTTTGATCCGTAAGTTTGGTCCGCTCACTCCGCCAACCGGGGTGCCGGGTTTGGGCTCCCGGTCAGCTGTGTGTGTTCAAGCTACTCTTGCTTCAAGGTTGTCGATTTGATGTGCTACTTGCGCTAATTGTCCCTCAGAAACCGTGCGCGTGGTTGTGCAGCTTCGCATTGGATGATGGTTTCTCCTTCGCTTGTTGACTGTTCATGGCGCGCCAGGGGTTTCTGCACAAAGATCGAGCATCAAATCTTTACAGCGTGGCCGAAAGTAGTCATGAGAGTATCGCCACTCAACAACTCAATTGTTCCAAAGGAGCACGGGCTCGCTATGATTGATCTGCACCAATTCAAACACCTGATTGGATTCAACCAGTCTACAAGACATTGCAGGGACACGGCACGACCCGGAAAAACCGTCACATCATTCGATTTATATTTTTGAATTCTGCAAGGCTCATGGTGTTGTTTTGCATGGCCCCCCCTTGTCACCCGGCCGTTTCTTGGGATCGACCCCCGGTCGCCCAGTCCCCCCCGCTGCAGGCCGGCGCCTCGAGGAAGACCAGGCCCTGGAGCCGGCCCTTGGTGGCGCCGCAGCGGAAGCCTTCCTCGCAGCAGTCCGCGCCCGCGGCCCAGAACTGCACCGCGCCTCGCTCTCGTCCGAGCCGAAACCGAAACGAAAAAGGCGGAGCCCCGAAAACGACAAAAACTAGGTCCTCCAGAGAGGCTATAGGGTGCCAACTTTTTTTTTTCCGTAGTCTATTTTATAGTAGGGGAACCCTCCTGCAAAAAAAGGGTAAAGGGGCACTGCTCGGGGACCTAGAAAAGATGTCTCAGCCCAGGGCCCAGGTGATATCCGGCCCAGGTAATGAACAAAGTGTCTAGCAGCAAACAATCGCAAAGATGTGGACGAGATTATGGGAATGATATGAGAATGTGCCGGAAGTGTGGGGCGGGCGGACCAGGGAAGAATCAAACCCTTTGTGGGGGCAGGGGGGTGGGGGCAGAAGGGGTGCCACGGTAGTAAAGAATTTGATCTTCGGAATCAAGACGAATCAGACCCCCGCCCGCAAGCCAAGGATTGAAAACAGCCCTGAATTGCTAAAGCAAGGGGAACTCGATGCTAGCATCGCTAGTTTCGTGACACCTGGAGAATGAGGAGAGGGGCTGCTGTGCTGAAGTGTTCATTGTGTCTCCCCCAAAACTTTTCTGAACAGGCGGTCTTGTGATGCAAGATACCCTCTGACCCCCGGAGATGGAAATCCGGTGACCGGTGCTGAGACTGGATCCAAGCTCCCGAAAAAGGAGTCCCCCCTATCTCGCTGACAAAGAACCGATACCAACATAAGGGTCCCTGTCTTGGTCGCAGGAGCAACAGCATTGACAAAGGGACCCGTAGTGGTGACATAC